ACCAGAAATCAGTAGTAGGGAAAAAGTAAATTTTTCTTTATTTGCAGATATACGATCTTATATAGAGAAAATCCTATAAAGTACCAAAAGACTTTTAGGACTAATCAATGAATTCTGTAAAGTTGCATCTTCAATTACAAAATAAATGTAGATCTGAGCTCTCAAGTAAGGACTAACTCACACTCTACATCCAATTTTTCCAACCTCTGAATATGAAGTTTCTTGATAACATCTACTTATTTTTTTTTCTCAGATCTTCCAAATCCAATCACTTCTTTCTAGGCACAAGGCCATAGCCCTACACCAAGCATGAGCCATCGTTTACTTCTCTTACCTCATGCACCTTCTAGCATTAAATGTCTAATACCTTCATTAAGTTTAAGTTTACCTTGACCCAGCTGCCTTTTCTCAATAGAACTTCCTGCTTCAATGTTGATCAGAGCCAAATCTCACTTTTGTCTTCTAATTCATTTAGAGAGTGGTCCTAATTACATTCATCTCCTTGCATCACTTTCTGTTTCAAAGTTTTTTTTTTCTACAACTCTAGACACATAATCTCAAAGATATTTTGAGGATCATTTCAGGCCCTGTTTTTGGTTTTCCTGGGTACAAAGAAGATAAAATTTAGAACTGCCTTGGACACACAAGCAAGAGTAACACACAAAAAAACCACAGGAGTGGTTTTTTGGGGAAGGCAACCCTAAGAAATTTCCCAACTGTTGCCATTGTTAATGCAGATGATAGTCACTGGCCTATTTTAATAGTATAGTTCACAGAGACTAATGTACCTGGGTTAATGACTTGATTTATGGTATTTTGTGGAATAGTAGGGAAATAAAGCCATACAGATGACCTTATGGATGATAGAAGTTTATTAAGGATATGTAATCTCAAAGTCTATATATTGGGGGTGCCAAAAAAATGTATACAAGTGGAAGCTTTGGTCAACATTGCTCAGGCAGTAGTTCACTGTAGTCAGAAGTGTCTGGACACTGATGGTAACTACTTTGAGCACCTCTTGTAATTGCAGAAGTCAAACGTGACTTGTATTCATCTTTTGTTATTGGTATATATTAAGTAATACAATTTTAATACAGTTTTCCTTTCTTAAAATGTGTATACATTTTTTCAGCACCCTCTGTATTTGCTAGCTATATGCTTTCAAGTAAATTAACTTTTATGAAACTTGAATTTTTCATTTTTAAATTGTGATAATAATTATATCTACTTCATAAGGCTGTTTTTGAGGACTAACTGAAATAATCTATACAAGGTGCTTGGTGTGGTGCTTAGCATTCAATACATGTCAGCTATTGTTATTGTTATGGTGTTACAGATTTATAACTTTCACACTTATAATGACCTTATAATTTAAAATATTTTTTGATATTTCTGAAATACTATATTTCTCCAAATGAAATACTCCCTCAGTCAGTGATCCTATTCAAACAATGATGCAAGGAATCTACCTATTATTTGGGAGTATCATGAATTGCTGGTGTCTGGTTACTGAAACCTTCTCTGGAGAATGATGTGAAAGATGAGATATGTCTGTGTCATTATCTCAGGGCATTGGAATGGGTTTCAGCAGTATTTGAGCATGAATTCATTTTACTTTTGCATCTCCGTTTGTATTCAAATCAGTAAATCCCAAATTATGAGGAAGAACAGGACTTGCAACCTGTTTTTCTTGGCTATCTAGTTAGCACATATAGGACAGAGAGAAGGATCTGGTTTGATTCATTGGGACTTAGCAACAACAAACAGGAGTGGCTCAGGATGAGTTATGAACCCTTCCTGTAATTCTTCTAAAGGTTACTTAGTGGGGAGTGGAGGGAAAGGGACACCTGTCTTATTTAAATGGGACTAAAATAATACAAAGCATTTCTTGACCCTGGGAACCCTAGTTGATCTTCCTTTTCTTTTAAGTCCTTTTGCACCTATTTTCCTAAACATACAATTTAATCCTTAATTACATTGTATCATGTTGTTCAATTTCATGTGTGTTACCATTATCTCTCTAAAGAGATTGGGAACAGATCATGTTTCATTTTCTGCAAAACTCAGGTGCCAAGAAGTGTAAAGAGCTGAATAATCACACCATATAATGGGAGGACACATTGTTAATTTAAATTGGGAAAACTAACTCATTATATGGAAAATAATACCTGGGTCCCTACCTAGTATCATACTCAAGGGTGAACTCTAAATACATTAAAGTCCTAATGTAAATGGTAAAACTTTAAAGTTAATAGAAGACAATATACAAGAATATTTTACTATAGACTCAGAAAGAGGGAATGACTTCTTTAAAAGAACTTTGAAAACACAATCATAAGGCAAAGAAATTTGATGGATATGATTATTTCAAAGTTATAAATTTTTGTTTCATGAAGGACAAGGACAACATGGTCCGAATTAATAGAAGACAGAATGGATAAGTACAATATCTACAACAAAGTAAACTGCTCATATCTAGAAAATATAAGGAACACCTGCAAAGCAATACTAATAAAACAAAAGAACCCTAATAGAAAACAAAGGATGGGTATAGGCAATTTATAGAAATGAAAGTGCGAAAGGCTAGCAAGTATATATAATGATACACAAACCCATCAGTAACATAAAAAATGGAAATTAAATTGTGAATGAGATACAACTTAATGGCTGGCAGAAATTAGAAAGCCAAATAATACCAGGTGCTAGCAAAGATTTGGGGACATAGGGATCCTCACTCACTGCCAATGGGAGTGTGCATTGATTCAGCTATTCTGAAGAGCAATTTAGCACCAATTAGTCAAATTAGGTGTATGCACACCCAATTACCCAATAATGGTGCTTCCAGAAGAACTTGCATGTGTTCATAAGGAGATAAGTAGGAGGCTATTTAGTGCAGCATTTTTTTGGATGATTGGCAGAAAGTAAATCATGGTAGATATACATTGTGAGTCATCATGTTACAGTTAAGAGCAATTAGTTAGATGTACATTTAGCAATATACAATAGATAGATTTTAACAGATCCGAGTAAAAATGTATGAAAAAAAAGTAATGGAATGGACTGTATATTTGTTTCCCCCCAAACTCATATGTTGAAATCCTAACCCCCAATGTCATGATATTAGGAGGTGGGACGTCTGAGAGGTGATTAGGTCATCAATGGGATTGATGCCCTTATAAAAGAGACTCAGAGTGCTCTTAAACTCCCTGGTCTACACTATGTAAGGATACACTGAGAAGTCTGTGGTCTGCAACCTGAAAGAGGGCCCTCAGTGGAACCTGACCATGCTGGTACTCTTATCTCAGACTTCCAGCCTCCAGAACTGTGAGAAATAAATTTCTGTTGTTATAAGCCACTCAGTCCATGGTACTTTGATATAGCAGCCATAACTGACTAAGTGATTTATAGCACAAAGAGTAATTAAAAGCATGTGCACACAAAACAAGAAAGTGTATTTTTGCAAAAATGAAAATAAACAAAAGAATACATATGGAATACAGAATAGTCACCTGCAGATGGGAGATGAATTGGAGGGTGTTATGAGAATAAAGGAGAATAAATTATGACAACTAGAGAAGAGCTTTGTATGTATTCATGATGATAATGTGTTATTACCTAACTTAGCCTTCGCATCTGAGGTTTCTTCATTCCTAGAAATGCATGCTTTATTGCAACTTAAAAGTCCACTTTCAGACAGTTTCTGTTATAGATGTACTTTAGCATATCTTTCACTTCCTTTTAAAAGGCCTATTGCATTCCTGTTCATTCATGTCAGTAAAGACAATGTTTTAGCCTAAAACAACAACAACATCAGGCAGAAAACAAAGAAAACAGATTTAAAACTTTCCCAATGAATTACATTTCCCATTATTCAAAGAATTTGTATACCTTTTTAACTAAGGCATACTAATATTTGTTTTCATTGAGGAGGTTATATGGAGTCACTTAGGAGTAGAAGAATATAGGAAGTACTGACGTTCCTCAAGAAATGGCTGCAAATTCTATTTTCTAAGGTGCTCTGAATATAGAAGTGTAAGGATGTATATCAATCTAAAATGTTAATTATTGATCTGGGTGATGAAACCTCAAGATAGAAAAATCATGCAAGATTTAATGATAATTGGGAAAATATAAACTCCATCTCCATCTTCATATTGATTATTATAAGGTTGTTGTAACTGAGTGTGCCTATGACAAAGGTCAGATGGTGATATGGAAAAAAGAAAATTGATTTGAGATAGAAAGAAAGTGTTTGGGTGGAAAAAAAGGTTTTTGACTAAAAGAAACTAATACACCTGTCATTTTCACTCCTTTAAAATAACTGTGCTTCTGTGTTTCCTTGTCAGGGAAGTTAACTTGAACTTAGTGTTTGACTGAGGGTTCACAGTTATCCTGAGCAGAATAGTTATACAGCTGAGTTTACTTTTTTACTTTGAAGACCAATTCTTTATTTTAGTTTTAACAGAACTATTAGCATTTCATTTAAAAATTGCACAATAGGTCTGAGTATTTTAACTTTATTACTATATTTGTAAGATAAAATGAACATTTATGATTGTCTTTCCTTTTTTCATATATTTAAAAATACTTTAAATTTTAAAATGTGGTCTTACAAAAAAAAGCATGTGGTCTTGCAAATAACTGCTTCTGGTATGGCTAAGCTTTCGCGTTTGGGTAATAGTGTGGCAGAATGGGCTGAGTAATGGGCTAGGGTAACTTGACCTCAGTTCTCTCATCTTTAAATGAAGTGATTGAATTAGAAAGAGTGGTTTATAGACTCACCCATTTGTTAGGCATGCTGATTACCTTACTCCCCTCTCCTCACCTCCCCATCCCATCAGACACTGATTCAGTGTCTGTGGAGTGGGGTCTGGGGATCTGCAAGACGCTTCTGATGCAGGTGGTCAGAAAACCATGCTTTGAAAATATTATGGGAAATGATCCACAAAATCCCTTCCATCTGTATTATTCTATGATAGAAAATATTTTGTCTGACTTACCAAGTTTTCGCTCATCTCTCGTAAATCCTTAAGTTGGTATGTGCTGTTTTGTCCAGAATTACTATGGATTTGTACATCTGAAATTTTAAAGGTGCCATGATAATACTCTATTTTCTGCTCTGTGATGAAAAGGAAAAGCAGGCTGTTAAGTGGTTTGGGCATAGATTTCAGGATTCAACTATAATGAGGCTAATATAAAGTCTTGAATATATTACTGAGATTCTTTCTAACTTCGTTTCATAAAAAGCATAATAAAAATAATGATTGCTGTTTTATGTTAATGACAGTAGCTGGTATTTATTGAGTGCCTACTATGTGCCAAGCACTGTGCTGGTCACTTGTATTGATTCCTCACACCAGCTCTCTAAGATTAATGTCAAACCCACTTCACAAATGAGGAAAGTGAGGGACAGAGGCATTAAATAACTTGCTCTATGTATACAAGTAGTAAATCACCATTCCAAGTTTTAAACCCAGACATTTAATTACCATGTTGCCCCCTTACTGAGGGGGCATTATACTCTACTGGAAGTAGAGGTAAATGAAAATCCTTGTAAATTTTGATTTGTAATGTGAGAGCCAGGGAATAAAGTCAGTGGAATTTTAACAGCTATATACGATGTCAGAGGGACAGTAGATTGTGGGGAGGGGGGTTATCACTTTGTGAGGGGTTTAAATGTCTAACTATTACATTGTTTTGTACACCTGAAAGTAATAAAAAAAGGAAGAAAGAAATGCAAAGAAAGAAATGCAAAGAAAGGCAGGGAAAAAGCTGTCTGTTGGAGGTGAGAATAGTGTGTAACCAGGGTGAATCAATCAGACCTCGTCTTGGCTGCCAGAAAAGGCAAGAAACTGGAGGGCACTGGAGACTCCTGAGGAATGTGGTAATCTTTGGTGTGAAGGCAGGGATGGGGGTGGGGGTTGGACAGGAAAGGAACTAGAGCTAAAGATAGAGCATAGAGCAACCACAAAACAACCTCTATCCATGGGGAGCCTGGCTCAGGGAGGACACAATGAGGGTGTCTAGCAATGGACCTAGAAAAGAAAGAAGGATCTCAGGGTGGCATATCTCCTAAGTGGGACATCTCTGGACTTTGCAATACCTTTTTGGTCCTCCTCATACTTATCTATATAATCCATACTGTTATTGATCCTTATAGTTATAGTAAAGGGGCTTTTGTACCATCAAATTAACTGACCTGAGAATTAAAGTATAGATGAAGTTGTGATATTGGTCCCAGAACTATGTTAAGTCCTTTAAAGCTTCTAATAGAATCTTTACTCCCCATTCAAGTATGAGGAAAGTGAGCTGTTTTATCACATATATCTGTGTCAGAGTGACATTGTAGAGATTTGACAAAAAATTTAAATGGTGTACAGTGTGTAGAGGAAGATGCAATATAAAAAGAGAATTCTGAAATATATTATTTGTGCAATTATAAATATATCAGGCAATAAAAAGTGTGCCTGAATATTGTTTTGGAAAGAGTGAAATTGTTTCTCTACAAAGAAGTAACAACATTGTGCTATATGTATAGTTTACTAATCATTTCAAAATTCATTATTTGATTGGACATGTGCTTTATTTTGTCCTTGAAATGTTGGTGGACAAAAAAATGATGAGTAAAAGAACCAATTTTAATAACGAAATAACTCATTTATCATAGTTTTTTAAACTTGAATATACAATGAATGATTAGAATTGTTTGTTATGATTACTAGTAAATTTCAGAAAATTACTGTTATTTTAATCTTTTGTGTAGATTCTCGAAAGAATAATAGATTGTGAGCTCCAAGGAGATAGGAAATTGGTCTGCTTCGCTTAACACTGTATCTTGAGTACCCAGAAAAGTACTTGCACATAACAGGCATTCAGTAATTATTTGTGGATGAAATGATTGAATAAATAAGAAAATATTTTGAATGTGGACATTTACATGTAAAAGTACAAATGCTTTTTGGACAAAATTACATTTATGTATATGAATATGAGCTTGATAGAAAAATGAAATCAAACTGAGTGAAATCCATAGTTTTACCTACCAGAGACTAAGAAGTGAGCCAGAAGACCAATGGTCACGGCCACTACCATCAGTAATAACACAATTAGAAGGGCGAGCATCCATGGTTTCAAACCTCTGCTTCGGGTGCCAAATCCTACCTCTCTGCAAAAGGAAAAACTTACCGTTACTCTCCTGTTGTAACGTTTACAGGCTTTCTGGTTCTCTTTGGATAAGAGCAAGTTGCTTTAGCCTACCTGTCCCAGCGAGAAGACATTTGTCTTCACTTTTGGTCGGTGTCATCTTGGTGTGAAGGGAGGTTTTTAAAAAATCAGGATCTGGGATCCTTTATATTGCTCCCGGCTTGTATGCTAGAGGCACTTCCTGGCTCCATGTGGTGGCCAGTCCTGACTTCTCTTAGCAGTATGGTCCAAAGTAACACATGTGCTTGAAAAAGGACCATTCCTTCTTTCTCCATACTTTTTAAAAAAAATTTCTTTTATCTGTGTATTCTTTTAGAATTTACAAAGTGATTTCAAATCTATTATCTCATTTAACTTTCATTTTTAACTCTTTGTTATGAAAATTTTCAGACACAAAAATTTAGAAAGGATGATATAAAACACACCTATATTTATCACATCATTTTATCAATTGTTAACATTCTTGCTGTTAACATTCATCATGATGTTGACATTTTGCTTCATTCATTTTTGCTACTATATTTTAATGTGAAGTAAAATATGACCTTTCACCAAATCATTATTATAAACAATTATGATATTTCCAACATAACCACAATACTATAACACTCCTAAAATGTTAACAATATTTCTCAATAACACTCAATCCATCTTCAAATTTCCTCTATTGTCCCTATTATATTTACAGATGGTTTCTGCAAACCAGGACCTAATTAAGGACCACATATCTCATGTCAATTTTTTTTTCAGCCAAAACAAGATATCATAACAGATTGAATACAGAAGATATATGACAATCCAGAAGTTTTCAATTAAGCCAGACATTAAAGAGGTTTTTTAAACTGTAAAGAGTGTAACTTTTTCACAGATACTGTAGAAAATAAAGTATTTTTTCATAAAAAAAAGGACCACATAGCACCTTAGTTATGTCTTGTCTCTTTTAATATAAAAAGAGTCCTGCTTCCTTTTTATTTTTTAATGAATCTGACTTGTTGAAAAGCTCAAGTCAGTTTTCTTTAGAATGTCCCATCTTCTGGACTAGTCTGAATGCTTCCTTGTGCTGTGTTTTAACTTGTTCTTCTATCCCCCTCATTTCCTGTAAGCTTAAATTTAGATCTAAAGACTTGAATAGATTTTGGTTAAACTCATTTGGCAAGAATACTTCAGAAGTGATGCTGTGTATTTTATATTGCATCACATCAGGATTAGAGGGAATTCCCACAATTTAGGAGTACAGAATAAGTCTACTTTTCCTGTAGCACCCTATGATTAACAATAGTGCTAATCCCATTGTATCAAGTATTTTTTTTCCCATGTATATTAACCTATACGTAGCTGTGAACAAGTCCTCAATGGGATGGACTAGTCTTGTTCATCTTTTTATCATTAAAACCTAATGGCTGGTACAGAGTAAGAATTTTATAAATCCTTGAGAGTCATGCAGCTATTATATAAGCCTTACATGAAATAACAGAGGCTGAGAGAGAGAATACCTGATTTGTTAGAGCCAAGCAGATTAAAACGGCCTGGGTCACCTAATTCATTTTCTCATGCTCCTTCTCTACAATTTGCCAGTGTAGTCCACTTTATTTCTTTCTTTCATTAGAATTTATCTTCTCATGTGTATATTGATAAGCCAAATTCTCTGGGGGCAGAAGGCATTTCTAATATTTTCTTCCCAAGATGTAGTGCAATCCTTTGCACTAAGTAGGCTTTTAATAAATAGTGATTGATTTACAGAATTTTTTTCCTTTGAATAATATATGTAAATATATATATGCAATATATATGTAATATTTATATGTAATATATATAATATATATGTAATATTTGTACATATATAAATGCTAGAATGAAAACCAGAAACTGTTTGGACCAAATAATTAAGAAGTTGGTAATTTTGCCATAAGTAATAAATTTTGTTTGGTGTGGAAAATATTCACAACATGTACACTGATTATAAAGGGTGTAGATAACTGGCTATGGAAAGGCAGTGTGTCCTCTGATGAACAATGGCTAAGGTGCTAGAAGGAGAAGGTTCATGGGGAGTGACATTACTTAGCCTCTTAAATGGCATAAAACCTAAAACCAGAAGTGAAAAACTTAGCAGCTATTTAATATACCTTAACACACTTTTCAAATGAGAAAACTGAGGCCCAGAGATGATTAAGTGACTTCTCCAATATAATAATAGAGCCAGCGGTCATCTCACACTCATGTCTTCTAACTGCTAGGACACTATTTTTCTCAATGCTAGATGCCCTCTCCATTGATTACATTTTAATTCTTAAATAGATTTATTATTTATTCATTTAGCCACTCGCTCATTCATTCTTAATTTATTTGACCATTCATTTCTTCAGAGAATCATATCAGTATGTTTCCAAGTTATTCAAACACACACACACACATACACACGCACACACACACACGCACACACACACACACACAGGAGTAAGGCTAGAACTCAAAGTGATTTATGAAATTTGAAATGTATCTTCTTGCCATGTGGCCCACTCCATCTTCAAAGCCAGCAATGGTCAATGGTAAATCTCCCTCCCATCAAATCTCACACGTTCTGAATCTCTCTCCAGGTAGAGCCTTGTCCTTTTTTAAGATGTCACGTGATTGGGTTAGGCACATCAAGATAATCTCCCCTTTTTAAAGCCAACTGATTTGAGACCTTAATTAAATCTGCAAAATTCCTTCACAGCAACACTTAGGTTAGTGTTTGAATAACTGGAAGAAGGAATGTGTACACCAAGGAATGGCAAAATTGGGCACCGTCTTACAATTTTATCACAACTCAAAATATGACTTTCATGAAAAAGGACAGAAATCTATATAGCCTTCAAAAAACACATGTGAGATTTATAATCATCTTTAATTATAACGGGGTGGAGGAGAACTATTTCATTAAAGAATTCTATAATATGTTAAGCATACAATTAGAAGACTAAGAGATATTTTATTCAAGTAATAGTTTTGGGGAATACAAAGTGAACCCTTGGGAGTTAAAAGGGAAGAAAGCTAAAAGTAATCCCTCATCATGACCTAATTGTCACTCTGCATTCCTTTAGGGAAAGGGCAAGTACAGATGATACTTATTCAGAGTAATACAACCTGTAGTCTGCATGAAATCCAATTTATCGTGTCCATTATACCTTCATTAAGGTTGATTATTCAGGGTATTCATGACATGATTTTTCCAAAGATGCTGTCAATGAAAACATGGTAATAATTTGAATATTTTTGTAACTTTGCTTTCTGCAATTTTACAGACTGAGAGGAGACTATTTAGAGCATTGTGAATTGTTAATGTTTAGATTTGGGATATTGATTTCCTCAGTAACCAATCTCTAAGCTGAGGACTTCTATATATGTGAGTTCAAAGATGACTTTGAGTTAGCAGAAGGCATTATGGACCCCCTACTCCACATGGATCTTCTTTTTCTAGAAAGGCCTTTCCTAAAGGCACAACTTTGGCTCACTCTACAGCCAACCACATGCCCTTTATAATTTTAGCTATGAGCTCCAAATCTTTCCTTTTTGGGGATTATTTTTCTGCTTTCTTGTAGGTACATGTTATCATTATACAAATGTAGATTCATGTGATTATTTCACAAATGCCAATTTACAGATAGATTACATTTCCATCAATCTTCATAGACAGTTTTTGAAGATTAAAATATACTATTTGGGGCCGGCCGAGTGGCGCGTTGGTTAAGAGCTGGCTTGAGATGCCAGAGGGCCCGGGTTCGGATCCCACATATGAGGGCCAGTGACACTGCCCTCCACAGCTAAGATGCTGAACAACAGCTCAACCTGGAGCTGGGCTGCTGTGAGTCGCCTG